CATCCTTCCGAGTGGAGTAGATCTCATTTCAGGACACATTCGAAGAACGATATGTTGTTGAACAACTTGTCCAAAGTTTTCAAAAGATGTTGATTGATGACAGGGAGGAGTTGATTGTAGCTATGCTGAAAGATATGCAGTTAGGATTTATGACTAGAATTGAGAAGCGTTGAAGTAAGATGAGGGTGTGCGGATGGCAATTATGTCCCATAATTAAAAAAGGGCTTGCCAAGATAGTTGAGGTGTCAACTGAATGCCCATTGCATTTTTCAGGAAGGCTAGATGGCAAGTGGATTGTAGGTCAGATTCATATGTCTTCGACTTGGAAGAACTGAGTTGCGCATGTAGGAGGTGGGACTTGACAGGAATACCGTGTACCCATGCGTTGGTTGTCATATGGGAGTGTAGAAATGATCCTATCGAGTACGTTGACAACTGCTATACAGTGGATACATATTTGCGATGCTACGATAACATTATGAATCCAATCAATGGAATACGATTGTAGCCCTAGTTGGAAACTCTTCCAATCATGCCACCATCGTGGATGACTCCGCAAAGGGAAAGAAAGCAAAAGAAAAGGAAAAGGCAAGCAGATGAAGATGTTATAGTAAACTCCCAGGGGAAATCGCATGTCAGGAGAAAAGGAAGAGTATCGATGACAAGTTCAATATGTGGCTTAAAGGGCCACAACAAAAGATATTATTCTAGACCTGATGCACCTTTTGATGTAAGTTTTAATTCAAATAACAACTTATAATTTTTTCACATCTCCAGAACTGGTGTAAGGGACATTTGGAGCCAATCGATAAGGGCAAGCACGCTTCGGATGACTTAAGAAGACATGTAAGTACTTATAATGGCTAATGCTTATCATTTCATGTTGAAGAAAGTGTTGGTTTAATAATATTTTGTTATTTTCTTTGATTGGGAAAATTGGTTCCCAACCGAGGAAATTGATCTAGTTCGAGCCAAACACATGATGAAGTTCGCAATTTTCACTTCATGCCAACTCTTGAGGTTAGCAGCAACATGTTGTTCTCCAGGATGGGCTAGCTACTTCTGTCCTTGACGGTAAAGTATCCTTAATAGAGCAAGTCGAACTTCAAGAAACGAATGTTGGTGGTCATGCGGGGACACCAAATTTTTGATGGCTACAGATACTTATCATGCGTACTTCTGGCCGATGTTTTTGTGCCAATGTTGCTAAGATTTTTATGTGATGTACATAGGAATCTAGTTTTGGCATTGTTTTGATTGTGTTGGCTGGTTTTTTGGATGCACAGATTGTAATGTGACATATCCAACTAGTTTAGATATAGTGGAAGGTGTTTAAATCATTGTAATGTATTTGAAGGTGTTCTAATGTTGTGGATGCAGAAATTATATTGTGATCAATTGTTGTTTTGTGGATGAACAGATCATAAATTCGAAGTGTTTTCAAATGTTGTAATGCTTGTTTGCTCAAATGTTGTAACGTTGTTTTGTTCAAATGTTCTAATAATGTTTTTGTTCAAATGTTCTGATGCTGCAAAGAAGTTGAACATAAGCAAATATTTACTAAATATCAACATTGCACATGTAAACTAACTAGTTCAACCTACTTAAATAATCTCTAGTACATCACATAATGAAATATCTAAGATAAGCAAATACTACATACGAGAACATTAAAGTTCAGGACCATCTTCTCATCAACTACATAGTTGGATTGTCTTCGCTAATCCCTTCCCTTTTGTTTCTCATTCGCATCCACATCTCCTTTTTCCTAGCGGAACGTAATGTTGATGGATATCTAGACGTCCGATTGTTCGGTAATTCGAGTACGAGTTTTGAACAAACCCGATAGATCTTCAGTTTGATGCTCAGGCTTATGAATGGCTGAACAATTGCACCTTGATTCACGTTCATTTTTTACACCACTGGACTGGCCCTCATCTTGTAATAGTACACATTTGTTGGGCGCAACGTTACTCCACTCGAAAAACCCGCAATCTCTAGTGCAACAAAAGAGTAACCGACCAATGTTTGCGGTCTTTTCTACTTCCATCCATTTCATAACACCATCAGCCCAATCTGGACATCGTTGTTTCTTTGGGCATGTCCACAATTGGTGACCTGGTTGTTTGCAATCATCAGCACAATCTGGACATCTTTGTTTCTTTGGGCATGTCCACAATTGGTGACCTGGTTGTTTGCAACTGTGACAAATTTCTTTCCTAACACACAAAAAAGGTTGGTTAGAAGCAAACATAAGAAACAGAAGGTTCAGTAAATGCTGGTAATTGGAATTCAATTCAAATCAACTGCAATAGCCTTTTCAAGGAAGAGACTATTTGAACAATGCTTCCTAGTCAGAACAAATAAATAGAAACTAGGGAAGAGACTGTTTGAACAAATAAATATAAACTGGTCAAATGCATCTTTGCCTCATCTGCATGACGCTTTAACCAAAACAAATAGAAAAATTTAATCAAGCACAAACAACTGGGGAAGAGACTATTTGAACAATCAAAACTCAACTCTTGCTTCTTGTTGGATTTACACTTGTCGACTATTTCCGAACTCTAGCATACCACCAATCTCTCCCACAAACAACAAAGCCATTGATTTCGGAAAGTTCTACTTTAAACAACAAATCCAGCACCAATGAAATTAACATTGTAAAGAGAAGGAAAAATTTCTGAATTACCTCCATTTGTTCTCTCCATTTCAACAGTTTCCGTTCAATTTTGTTTTTGGACTAGGGTTCATACAATTTGGAAGTTGAGTTTTCAAGGAGAGATTTGGGGTTAGGGTTTGTTCATATACTTCATCCCATCTCACGCTTTCATCATAAAGACGTGTTTGAGGATTCATGACATGGCAAGTTACCGAAGTGTCGAAGGAGTTTAACAGCCAAGTGTAAAAACCGTCATCCACGTAAGCAAATGGTATAAATGGAATTAACACGGTGAGTGATTAGTACAATATAAGTAAGTTCAGTTAGTGATGGGTGCAACTTAAAATGAAATGTGACACTTGGTGAAGTTATGATGACTGTTCAAACAATTAACTCCAAAGAGAGACTGCCCTTTGAAATCCTCTCTCCTCTCACTCAGTTTCACTGTCTTCTTCAAGTTCCAATTAACAAGTATCTGCAATCCAATGTCTACAGTTTCCCCACCTCCCGTCACGTTTTCATCAATTCAAGAAACACACACTTCGTTTCTCACCACAACCTCCTCCTACTCTTTGGTCTCGGCCATCTTGTTTGGGTTCGATAAGAGATTGTCCAGGAATTTTGTTGCACAGAAATAGGCTTCTTGCTTGGGCCGAAGACAAGGCCCGAGATGGCTCTTCTTCTACTTCGTCGACTCCACAACAAACTAACTCAGATAAGCAATTTCAGGTAGTAATGTTCATTTCACAATTGATTTATTCTTATGAAGAGATCACACTTTTAGATAGTTCAGTTCATTTGTATTTTGGAATAGTGATTTTTGGAGAACGTGTGATTAATAAGAACGAGAAAAATGTATTCTTTGTATAATGGAGCCTATAACTGAATTAATTTTACTATTGAAATGTCTTTCTGATCATGTAGTAGTTAATCTGCAGAATTTACGTGCTTTGGTTGATATCCGTAATGATAATTTTTGTTCTCTATTTTCTTACATAATGAAACAGCACAGCAGAGTGTTTTAAAGATTATTTGGGATCCTATCTTGTACTTGGTTTGATTCATCAATCTTGATATATGAAGGAACCACAAAATTGACTTATGGGGATTTTTTGTATTAGTTCACAAGCCAATTCTCTTCTGGACCCTCTATTTGATTGTGCCACAGTTGAGCGAGCATGTCCAATTACTACATAAACACAATACAACATCTCACTCTAAGAAGTAGCCTTTGACTTCAATAGCTTTTGGTGTAATATGGTATCAATAGAAGTAGCTGTTTTTCCAGTTTGTCAGTCCTCGCCTCGAGGTTGAGCAAGCATATGATTTATCGATAGCATTTGTAAGTTCATAAAACAGATGTTACTATCTCATGATCTATGCACAAAGAGTCCCCATTTTCAGCATTTTCCTCTTTACTTTTCAAATAATAAATCTACCTAAACTATTCTCCGTTCGTAATATCAGGATTTGAGTCTGTCCGGAACATGTGATCCCTTATGTTCTGTTGATGATGCGAGGTCAGAAGATTTTGAAGTCAATAACCAACCCAAGACAGATTTACTGAAAGCGCTTGCAATTTTTGCAGCTGCTGGAACTGGGGTGCTAGCGATAAATCATTCTTGGGTGGCAGCAAATCAGGTGCCTTGCTTGTTTCTCTTTTTTTTTCCCACACTTTCTAGTATGCTTATGAATTGGCAACCTTCTAAGAAGAATAAAATGTTGGTTTGATCAAAATCCAATGATTCAGGATGTTGCCATGGCATTGTTATTTGGAATCGGATACGCTGGCATAATATTTGAAGAGTCACTGGCGTTCAACAAAAGTGGAGTAGGACTCCTAATGGCTGTTAGTTTGTGGGTTATACGGAGCATTGGGGTAAGACTTGTACAGTTTTATAGATCATATTGTAATTAAATGTTAGGCCACCTGTGCGTTTCACTTATTCTAGGCGCAGCAGGGTTAAGTCTGGGAAATAAAATCATAGCTGACATGTAAGGAATCACTAGAGAAAGGAGGGTCCATTATGCAATTATGTTATGAAGAAGGTTCTGGTATTCTATTTGGAAATTATATAGGTGGGAGCTGATTTTGGGATGGATATCAAAAGATTTATTGTGTATTGAGCTTGCTCATTATTGGAGAGTTTCCAAGCCTCTCGAATGCTTGGCTATTCGGTAATCAATCAGAAATTAAATAAGGGTTTCCATTATCATTTCCTTTGTCTCTATCTGTGCTACCTAAATCTACTAATTTCAGTCCAGTGCGTATCATTAAACTTTGACTTGTCATTACGAACTACTTTCCTGGAGTGAATTCATGCTGAATATTCCTAAGTTATCTTGCTTTTCTGGAAGAACTAGCTTTTAATGTCACCTGGAAATTTTCTTTGAGGTATTACTTATTTCTAAAAAGGTTTT